ATTACAAAATAAAATGATTCAACTCTGCTGCCTTGACAAAAAAAAAAAAATACGAGAAATGAGTAGCTAAGAAATATAGTGACCATAAAAACACATATACTTTGCCAGCAACAACTAAACTACCGTGACGTTACTCCTTTTATTTTATTTATTATCTTGAAAAATTTAGTCTTGCGCTTCACAATCGCAAGAGACGGCAGTTGTAAAGAATTCCACCAACGCTAACATAAGTGAAAGTGATTTCAAAAAAAAAAAACAAACAAACAAACAAAAAGTACAGGTATCTGCAAGATTCACTAATCCCGTTGTTGTTTTGGATTTTATTAGTGGTTGTCATGCTCTTCTTTTAGCACATGCGCCATACAATACACGTATATAAAGGTACACATTTATGTATTTGTATGTGAATGTGTATGTTTATGCAGGTTATACACAAAAATTATTGACAGAGCAGTGGAAAGTCGAAATGGCGATTGTGTCGTCGTTGTATTTTTTAGTTTTGGTGTAGTGTTTTGGGTGTCTGCTTATTGGCGGAAGAATTTCACATGGGTTACTGTTGCTTACGCAACTTTGCGTGTTTGGTGGTTGGCCGCTGTGACTTGTTAACACAACGAAAATACATTTCTATATGCTTAAGTAATTTTCGTTTCAAATTCGCAATTTTTTTTTTATTAGGCTACATATATGTAGCAATATTTGTATGTACTAATGGTTACACGTAACTTACTGATATGTAATTTAATGCGCATATGTATGTACATTAGTGTGGCCCAAAAATGCATGTAAAAAAGTAGAGTCGAAATTTGTATGCATATACGGGATGACCCTACTATTCCGAAAAAATATACCCCTTTTTTAATTTGAAATCAAAAAATTTGTAGGTGTCGCTCAAAGCGAAAGAAACAACTTTTTGTAGAAATGGTATAGAATTCTTGAGAATTCTCCTGCAGAGATGCAGAGAAACAGAGTTTTCCGATCGGAAAATATAGACTTTCAAGAATTCTATACCATTTTTACAAAAATTTTTTTTCGCCATATAAAATACAAGGGGCACTTTGAGCGACCTCTAAATATTTTTTTATTTCAAAATAAACAAGTAAGAAAGTCTAAGTTCGGGCGGAGCCGAACATTAAATATTCGGCGCAAGTATTAAATATATGTTTTTTCACATTTCCGAAACCTTCCGCTAGATGGTAAGCCGGGGTGTATCAATTTTGAGTAAATTAGCGTCCTTCAATTTCGAAATATTGAAGTTTCAAGCATTTCTGAAATTTACCGTTATATGAGAAGCGACCGTTATTTTAGTCCGATTTCAATAATTTTCAACGTTTTGCTTATATGTGGCAAGCACAATAACCACACCGAGTTTGGTACAAATTGGTAGAACGGTTACCGATATACTTATATGTGATCATAAGTGGGCGGTGCCACGCCCATTTTCCAAAATTTTACCATAAACGTATTTCTTGGTAAAGAATTGTTGCAAGCATCAATTTTGAATAAATTAGCTTCAATATTTACTGATTTATCGAAGATTATGTATTTCTCTAAATTACCGTTATATGGGAGGTGGGCGTGGTTATTGAGCGATTTTAAAAATTTTCGGCCATTTGGTATGTTGTGCGAAGACCAACCACTGTGCCAAGTTTGGAAGAAATTGGTGCAACGGTTACCAAGATATACACATGTAACCATAAGTGGGCGTGGCTAAGCCCATTTTCCAAAAATTTACAATATTCTTATTTTTCGTCTAAAAATTATTGTAAATATCAATTATGAGTGAATTATCTTCAGTAGTTACTAAAATATCACAGTTTTCGTATTTCTGGAAATTACCGTTATATGGGAAGTGGGCGTGGTTATTGTCCGATTTCGCACATTTTCAATACCAACCTACCTTGGATTAACAGAAACCTACATACCAAATTTCGTTAAGATATCTCGATTTTTACTCGAGTTATCGTGTACACGGACAGACGGACAGACAGACATGGCTTAATCGATTTCTTTTTTCATTCTGATCATTTATGTATACATTTGTCTATATCTATCTCGATTCGTTTTGGCTGTTACAAACAACCGTTATGTGAACAAAATTAATATACCCTTGTGCACAAGTGCGAGCGGGTATAAAAATAGGGGTATATTTTCTTCGACACATAGAACAATCCTAAACTTTACTTTTTTTTTGACACCCCTAATGTACATACTTCAGCAACTCGAAGTAAATCGGGGCGTGATAGCGTTAGAGAGCAAATATCGTCGCTACCATATCAAATTATCGAATGTACAAAAATGCTTTTTTTAATTTTTGAAATTCATTTATACAAAATGGCTGCTGGCATTATCGATGATATACTCAAAATTTCGGTAAATCTGTTTTTGGTGCTTTACGAACAGGTTTAATTTTGTTGTTGTTTGCTATAGTAGGATTTGTTTTATTTTAAATAATTTAGCATACAAAACCAAATAATATTAAAAATGAAGTTATCATTATTTAGCTGATACCAGAAACTTTCATAAGAACTTATGAAAATGACACATTCTAGAATTCAAAGCCAGTTTAAATCGAGCTTTTTATTTGTATCATGGTTTTACCACTCGGATCTTCGAACTATTTATGAAATTTTTACATTATGTAGTCTAATTTTATTTACCGAAAGTTTTTTTTTTTTACGGAAGATTTTGGAAATACTTGTAAAATTTGTTCTGAAAACCTATCTCGGGGTTGTGCCATCTTTTGCGTTATTTTTTTTTTTTTTTGTTAGATGAGAAGGCTTTGGGGGCTTTCGAGAGCCTATTCTAAGCGCTAAAGTAGGAATGGTCCGGAGCGCTCTGCAGGATTCGAAGGATTGGTGACAAGGGGCATTTATTTTTTTTATTTGGCACTTTGGGTCGACACCAGAACTCTTCGTCAACTGATTCTATTCACTTCGAAGTGGCGCAGCTGCAATTATATAAGCCGATGTCGGCCGCTGTGGTGTAGTGGTAAGCAGTGCGCGCTTCCACTCCGCAACGCCTGGGTTCAAACCCTGGTCAAAGCAACAGCGCAAAAATATAGGAAAAAAAAGGATTTTTTTTTTTAACAGCGGTCGTCCCTCGGCAGGCAATGGCAAACCTCCGAGTGTATTTCTGCCATGAAAAACAACTTCTCATAAAAATACAATCGCCGTTCGGGGTCGGCGTAAAACTGTAGGTCCCTCCGCTTTGTGTGACAACATCAAGGCGCACGACACAAATCGGAGGAGAAGCTTGGCCAAACACTAAAATATGTGTAAGCGCCAATCTATTATTATTATTATTACGTATTATGTTTTCTAACGTAAGATTGAAGGAGACACACGAAAGTACCTACAAGAAGAGCGAAGGAAGGCCATCAACGTGCGTAGCCGTCGAATTGTAGGTAATTTCGGACAAAGACCCATGCCAAAGCCAAAAAGAACTTGCGGCAATATTAGACGTGACTCAACAACACATTTAATTACGAAACCTTTCGGTATGGTATTGAAAGTCGGAAAATTGGGTGCCTCACGAACGAAAACCAAGAGATATCGAACGGCATGGCAAATGGACTCATTAAGACAATTCAAAGCGCCAGAAGATGTATGTTAAGCACGGCGAACGCGGACCATCGATGTGGAAGACAAATATCCATAACAGCAAGATAATGCTTTGCAGTGGTTGGGACTAGAAGGGAATCCTTTCGATGGGGCTCTCTACAGATAATAATCCATGAATTACCAGAAAAGTGGGAAAAAGTCATAGCTAGAGGTGGGTAATACTTTCAATAAAATGCACTGTACCAATTTGTCAAAATACATTTTCCAAATCGAGAAAGAACCCTTTGAACTTACTTGTTTACCGCATAAAAACTTTTTTGGTCACTGATCACGGAGCGCACCTGGGTCCTACCGATTGGTAGGCTGTAACTAAGTATAACCACTCGTTTATACCGCCTGTTATGTAAAATGGCGCTAAATTTTTTGAATTTGCTAGCGATTCGTCACACATATATGCACATAGTGTTGCACAAATCACCAAATATTTCCTTTACATACAAATGCACTTATGCCTGAATTAACAAAAGGTAGTGAGTGAGCAGTTAAATGTTATCTACGTCACAAGTTACCTTGACATAACCCAACGATATTTGTTTGCTAGCTGCTGGTTGGTATAGCCATTGCAACAAATTTCGTGATCGGCACACCCAATGAAGAATGAAATGAAAGCGAAAAGATCGGAAATTGGCAAGGACGGTAACGAAAAAAAATAAATAAAATGAGGAATAACCAGCATTTCGTGGTAACTGCCTTTTTATGCATGAGTAAGATTAGTGGCATTTAGTAGGGCTCTCAGGTAACCCGTACGAATGATGATATTAGTAGCTAAGCAGGAATTGTTGGTGCTCTAGCGCTTAAGCAGTAAAAGTCATGTGAGCGAGGGAGTATATGTATACTACAAGCTGCGAAAATTGCGGCAAAACAAAATTGTCAAAAACAAAAAATAAAAAATCGCCAGCTTTGGAGAAGACTGCACCGCTCCCAGAGTAAGCAGAGAAGCTACGCAACTGGTTACTACTACTGCACATAATTTGCCTAAGTTTAACTCTCACTTACAACAATTGTAACCGCAAACTGAGCGAAAATTGTTGCATATCGTGTCAGGTTCTCTATCAGACAATTTACCTCTCAGCTGGAGCTGTTGGTGGAATTTCGAAAGACACTTACCTATATTCCACTAGCAGAGCGTCTTTGTCGCTAGTTGAGGGGTTGTGCAACAGAAAACACACACAGGAACGTACACACACACACATACATATGTATCATACTCATTTGTTGTTGGTTTTGTTTGCATATAGAGTAGCTTCGTTTGGCGCCATTGCAACAGCAGTTGCTGCTTTATATCTTAAGTTGCTGCTATATTTTGCGCTCTTGGCGCGCGCTCAGACAGAGAAAGCAACTGGCGAGATTGTAAAGTGAAGAAAGAAAGGGGGTCACAACTTTCACGCGATATAAAAATCATGATACCAATTCGGCCGGGCCGCATTTTCACGTCAACGCTGAACGCCTAAAGAGAGGTCGTTTGTGTTTTGGTTTTTATTCGTCGTCTACCACAGCTAGCTTGTGTGCTGCGACTGACTCAAAGTGTAAGAAAATTGATACGCTTGTGAATTTTCGATCGACGTCCTTCTTAGTGACATTAACCCAAAAATCATTACAATTAAATAAAGAAACAAAAAAAAAATACAATTTCAATTGGAACTCAATATTTTCTCACACATGAAATTTAACGGTTAATAAAATTTGAAATTCAAATAGTGCCAAGTGCAATAAAGAAACATATAAATTTGCGGCTGCTATTTAAACTATAGTGAGCGTGGAAAGCTTTAAAAAAAAAAATCTGATATTTAAAAAAAACAAAATCTGTTAAGTTTGAGGAAGCTATTAAAACGATCGTGATTAAAAAAATAAAAATAAAAATTGCAAACAAAATTGGAAACTTTTGTGAAGAAACAGTAACAAAAAAGCGAACGTGCCATTTGATTGGATATTTTGATTGGATTAAGCAAAAAAACACAGAAACACATATAAAAAAAAATAGGAAAGGAGTAAGCTATAAATAAAAGAGCTGTACAACACAAGTGAAAGGATTACAATAACTATCCAAGCAGGTGAGTCGGAAAAAAACAGAAAAAAAACAACAAAAATAGTAACATTCGAAAAAAGTGTTGTCTTGTGACTTTCTTAAATCATATAATGATGTACATAGTCAATCGGGAGATATGCGCTGAAGCGAAAGTCCTGCAATGAAAATAATATGTCGTGTGGTAAAAACAAAGCCCATTTCAGATTAAAATCACTCGTCTGTTTTAAAAACATGCGCATAACTGTGATATTTTTTGTTAGAATTCAAATATGGAAATTTATAATTTCCAAAGAGCAGAAAAAGGTTGTGTGATTGACGGTCGTTTTTTAATAAGTATGCTAGAAAATTGTCAACCTACCTGAACATTAGAAGATCGGAGTGAGAAAATGATTACAACGGTCTGCCACGATGGGAATATGTATGTACATACATCGCCACTATCAGAAACACTGTTCACATAGACCAGTTGGAGAGTGGAAGGGCCGGGCCTGCTCTTTAGAAGATCTACTGTATTAGGAAATCTTCGAATGGCCCTGAAATTCGAAGGCTGATAGGAAGATTGTTGCAAACGCAGCAGAAGCCAAACTAAACGTTTTTCTCAGTGTATGGTGAAAACCGCGATATCCAGCAGGGAAAATAAAAATTTTACCGAATTGAACTTTACTTGTTGTCACTTTAAATATTTTTGATAAAAACTGAACTCAAGGTCAAATAAAATTTGAGGGAAAAAAATTATAATTACATGACCACTTATAGAAGTCGTAGCAACAGTCTGCCGATAAAAATAATTTTGCTACAGTTTTGCTTGCTAACGTATCGTTTAAGTGAAAACGTGTTTGGCAAGGCCTGTAGTACTAATGGTCTGAAAAACTAAAAATAAACATTAACATATCACATATCATTTCTGTCACCCTATACCATATAGGATTTAAGATCGGCTATAGATTATTGACAGGTGTTTCATGCAACTCTCCAATTTCATTTTAAATTTTTTTGCAATCGTTCCACTGAGCGAAAAGCACAATCGTTTTTTCTACCAAGTTATGGTTCGATTTTTTCATGGTTAATAAGCCGATTGTAAGAAGTATGATTCAAGTTGATCATTTGAAAACACATTTGTGTATCTGGCTGTAGCTAAACGTGCAGATATGCTTGCTGTTTTTTGTTGAGTTCGAGCGGGTTCTGGTTCGAATGCTGCCAGAGGCGGTATAGTGTTTTTTTATGGTTTTTGTTAATTACGAAGAAGCATCAGTGAAGTGCAGAACACGATCAGCCGACGAAGAAACGCTTGCTGTTATTTGCCTTCAGAAGATGCGAGTTCGAATCCCGTAAGAGTCCAACATGTTAAAATGATAATACAAATTTTTGTTTTGTATGAAAAAGCATCTGTGAAGTGCAGAACATAAGCGTATTCAAACGAAAAAAATCGGCAACCAAATATTTGTTCAATGTAAACAAAAGTGTGGTTAATATTACCAAATCATTGTTGAAAATATCAACCATGGTATTGTTAATATCAACCAACAATCACATTGATTCCTTTTCAAGTTTGAATTTGGTAATATTAACCAAGTTTTGGTTAATTTTTTTTCTCAGTGTCCCTTTTGAATCATAGTAATTTAGACTGCATTAAAAATGAGTCTCTGGTTAAGGTGCACACTACCACTCGGTAGAACCCAGTTTCGATTCCTGATCCGACCAAAATAGTTACAAACAAATGAGGTTGTTTACAAAAGCGGTCACCCCTGGGCAAGTAATAAAATGTATTTTTGTCATAAAAAAGCTTCTCATAAAAACCCTCTGCAGTTCGGAGGTAGCGAAAAACTCGTAGGAGAAGCTCGGCCAAGCACTTAACAAATGTGCGTATTTTACTTCCTCCTAAAAGAAAGAAACGATGAATTAATAATACGAAATTGCATTGTAAAACTAATGTAAGCTAAGAGGTTTGTTAAGTATGTGATTCAATAGTATACGGAACAGCCAAATTCACTTTGTTCGACCTTAACCTTAGAGTGCGTTCACACAGAAAGCCGAGCGGCGCCGAGCGAAGCAAGGCCGAACAAAGCGAAGCTGCTGGTGTTCACACTGAACGAAGCGAAGCGGAGCTTTTCTCACAGACCCTGCTGCAAAGATACCACAAACTCAATTTTATTTAAAAGATTAGTTTTAAAATTCGTTTTTGTTTGAATATTTTGATATCTTGTAGGCGGCAGCGACATGAAGCTAAAAAATTAAATAGAAAATTCAAAATCAAAAGCTGTTTTGCTTTCAGCTCCAAAACGCTTATGAAAAAGCTTGCTGTATGAACACTTTCATACAGCTACAGCAATTTGAAAGCTTCACTTAGCTCGGAACGGCTTCGCTCAGCTCGGCTGCGCTTTCTGTGTCAACGTACCCTTAGCCTTAAGCATAGAATAGTAAACTTCTTGTTTACCCCTTCCCTCTGTGCAGCTACCTTTTATGAGTAAAAGAGATTGTATTTGGGATTGTATATTTATGAGAAGCAGTCTTTCATGGCAGAAATACACTCGGAGGTTTGCCATTGCCTATCGTTATGCTGTTAAGAAAAAACCTTTTTTCCATATAATTTTGTGATGTTGCTTTGACCAGGGTTTGAACCCAGGCCTTGAGGAGTGGTAGCGCGCACTGCTAACCACTACACCACAGCGGCGAAACAAATTCGGGAAATTCCCAAGTCTGGAATAAAACACGAAATCACAAAAATCGAGAACGGTTCAGAAAAAAAAACTCGAAACACTCGGGATCGTCCAAGAAAATTTCGAAAAGTCATATAAAATATAAAAAACAGCGAGTATATCATGTTTTTTATCATTACCTAAAAAAATAAAAGGAAAATATTGCAAATTTTTCTCTTCTTAAATCATCTGGCGAACTTGACCTTTTCTTTTTTCCTTAAAAAACCAAAATTATTTAAAATCAACAATAAAAATAATCACGGCTGCAATTGTCGAGTGGTTAGAGGTGCGCATGACCACTTGGTAAGTCCAGGGTTCGATTCTGGAAAAAATATAAATCACAAACGATTTAAAAAAAGTAAAATAAAAAATATTTTCGAAAAATATTTCACTATGGATTATTGTTATTGAAATCTAAAATATTTTATTAACAATATCTGTTATAAATCGGCTAACAGCTACCTGCTCAGCTTCTGATGAAGAAATAAAAGAAGAAATTACCAAGTATTTTGTATTCTCAAAACAGACCATGCACTCATAGATGACCAAATAAAATACCGTAAACTCGTACAAACAAACGCAATGGCTTTTTACCAATTAGGCAGCAGCAGCATCACTAATCGTACAATGCAATTTAAAGCTACATCGCGGCATATTGCTACCAAATACATATGCATGTATGTATGTACATTAGGGTGGTCCACACGAAAATCAACTTTTCAGAATTTTCTTGCTGCTACCCGCAGACTTGTACAAAATGGAAAATAAGGAGATGGAGTGGAGCAAACGTAAAATTGACGAATTCTATTTTTTTTTAAATTAAGAGGTTTAAGGAGCTATTAAGCTATCATTTAATTTATAAAAATTTTTTAATATCATAATTTTTTTATATCTGGAGAATTCGTTAACCGATCGAAATAATTGGTATATCAAGTTAAAAGCATTCGAATTTGCTATATTTTGATGATACATAATTAACTTTTTATAAAAGTTACACATTTTCGAGGTATTTACGGAGTTTTTTTTTTTTTGAAAAAATGGGACAATTTTCGATTTTTATTTTACTCATTTCTAAAAAATATTATAAATAAAGAATTAAAAAATAAGCATTTAACAATTAACGCCTGGAGTCAAGCAAAAAATTTTTCTGCTGTAAAATATGTTTTTTTCAATTTTGTTACAAAAAAAAACTATAAAAAAAAAAATAAAAAAAGTAGTTCCTTAAACCTCTTAATAAATTACTTATCTTTCAATTAAAGAAAACAATTAAAAGTCACTAAAGAAATGTAGGCTTTAGACCTTTTTCAATAACATATTTCGTGTTGGCACCAAAACAAAAAGGTTTCGGACCACCCTAACGTACATACATTAGCATGCCACATACTACTTAGGCTACCAACTCATCCGACTACTATAGTAGTAGTCACTTACTATGCGTAAAAGTTGAAACGCATCTGCTATTTTATATGTACATATATCGATGGTCCTCCGCAATAATGACACAACTCAAAATTTCATATTTTGGAGTAGAGCCCATTAATGATTTTGTGTATCGTAATTTAGCAATAATATGTCTTGTAATGTAATTGTTCCGGATTATTTGCAGCTATTCTGTAGGAAAAATTTGTAAGCTTTCAAATTTTGACTTTTTCTAAGATTTAGTTGGGATTGGACTGAAAAAAGGGCAAGGAAAAAGCCCTTAATCATGATAATATAAAAGTTTTAAACGTTCCTTATTTAAATTCAATTCAAGGCTTTTTTTTCGCGAAAATCTAAAAAATTCCGCCAGAAAACTTCAAAATGCATATTGTAGAGATTAAAGTTTTTTGAGTTAAAAACTCGAACGGAGAAAATAGTGAAAGATTGAAAATACAAATTTTTCATATAACGAAACTAAGTAGTTCACTTGCAAAAAGATTAACATTTCTAAAATAAATGTATTTTTTGATTATTTTTCAGTTTTTTTTTCTTTTTTTAGTATCTTATTTTGCCCTTTTTGCGATTTCTAGTGCCTTTTCCCGCCTATTTCGTTATTTTATTTTGGTTTTTAGGTCCTAAAAATCCGTTCTCTGCTTATGTACAGTCAGTCAATAAAGTTTAGGTACAGCGAATTTTTTACAATATGGGCAACTATTTTTTAAATATTTTATTTTTCGCGGTTTTTTTATAAAAATATGGCTAATTCTACAACAAAAAACCAAAAAATTAGAGTTCCAAACCTTGTGCAAAATTAAAGAAAATTTTGCAAAATTTCATTGAAATATTTCACTTTTTATTTACGCTCTCTAGAAAAAAGTTGAGTATGCAGTTTTTTAGCCCATTCAATTTT